TGTGATGAACTTGAAGGGGATGGGTCAAGATGACTTCAAAATTTGGAAATCTCATCACCATGCTGATTGACTCAGTTTTTGATACTTGGCACTTTGTCAACTGCCTCCATGGCCTCTCCCATCTGACTGGACGACTGGAGGGTAGTTACTCCCAAACCCTTTCTTTACAAAGGCTCAACTTTCAGAACTTCCCATTCTCCATCAGCAGCTGTGCTTGGTTTCAATTCAATGGAACATTATGGAGATGGAGAACATCACACAACCAGCATAGCTAGGTGATACAGTAGAGTGCTGGGCCTGGAGTCAGGAAGACCTGAGTTCAAATCCAGCCTCAGACACTTACTAGCTATGGGACTCTGGGCAAGTCACTTAACCCTTTTTGCCTCAGTTTCCTCATCTGTAAAATGAGCTGGAGAAGGAAATGGCAAACCACTGTAGTATCTCTGCCAAGAAAACCCCAAATGGAGTCACAGAGAGTCAGATACGACTGAAGAAAAATCACATAACCATTGTAACTGGGCCCACTACATGTGTATGTTACACAAGTGGGCCCTCACTGCTGTTAGGCAATCGTGTTACATCTCCCTTATCAACACTATCCTACTTTCCACAGTGGCTCTTCCAAGCTTTGTTATCCTTCCTCAAACCTTCCATGCCTCCCTCTCCTGTCACTCTCTCAGCTGAGAATCTTGCCTCATGTTTTACATAAGACATTGAGGCCATTTGCAGTGAGCTCCCGTTTCTCCCCTCTTCCTCATCTCCTGTCAGATAACTTCTGCCTCCCTCCTCCTTCACACTGCCTGTCTCATTCCTTACCAAGGCTAACCCCTCTATCCGCTGAAGCAATCCCATTCCATTCTGTGTTCTCCAACAGACTGTCCCGTCATCACCAATCTCATTTATTTTCAATCTCTCCCTCTCTATTGGTTCATTTCCTACTACTTATAAACATGCCCAACAGCATTCTGAAAAAATCCTCACTTGATCCTCCCAGCCCCACTATCATCCTATTTCTCTTCTGCCCTTTGTGGCCAGACTCTCCAACTGCTCTCTCCAAAGTTACTAATGATCTCTTAGACACCAAATCCATTGGCCTTTTCTCAATCCTCATTCTCCTTGACCTCTCTGCAGCCTTTGACACTGTCGATCACTCTCTCCTCTTTGATACATAGGTTCCCAAAGTGGGCAATACCACCCCCTGGGGGATGCTGGAACAATCCAGAGTGGGGCAGTAGTAGCCTCAAGTGCAGTTGGGGGGCACTGAATAAAAATAAGGGAGCAATGGAAGCATAAGAAGAAAAGAGAAGAAAATTTTGAAAAACTGTTCATACATGTTTCATCTATTGTATGACAGTTGTAGTTGTATAAAGTTGTAGTGATTACATCATTTTCCAAATAAACATAAAATGAAAGTTAAAACTGATCAGTGGTCAAGTCTGCCAACAGGTCTTAACAAGCAAGTGTTGGCAGGCCAGCGTGTTGCCCACTGTCAGGAAGTCCAGCATGCATCAGCAGGAATATGCGCATGTAATGACTTGTTTACAATACAATATTATATGGTTAGATGATACAATATTGTATCATCAAAGTTTCAATGCAGAAAAAACCCACAAATTTACAATAAATTATTAAATTTAAAATGCATCATTTTTAAAAATATATTTTATATTTTTTGAAATGATGCAAATTTTTTTAAACCATTAAAGGATTAAAGAAAGTAGGTTTCCAAGGGGGCACTGAGTAATTTTTTTTTTCTTTTTTTTGGGGGGGGTTAGGCAATGGGGTTAAGTGACTTGCCCAGGGTCACACAGCTAGTGTTATGTATCTGAGGCCGGAATAGAACTCAGGTCCTCCTGAATCCAGGGCCAGTGCTCTATCCATTGCGCCACCTAGCTGCCCTAATTTTTTTTGTTTTTGAAAAGGGGGCAGTAGGCCAAATAAGTTTGGGAACCTCTGCTCTAGGTTTTCAGAACACCACTCCTGGTTCTCCTCCTACATATGAGCACTCCTTTTCTGTCTCTTTTGCTGGATCCTCATCCACGTGTCTCTCAGAGTTTTGTTCTGGGCCCTCTTCTCTTCTCCTTCCACATTACTTCACTTGGGGATCTCATCAGTTCCCATGGATTTAATGACCATCTCTACAATAATAATTCTCAAATCTGCCTATGCTGCTCTAATTTCTCTGCTGACCTTGAATCTCCCATCCAATCTCTCATCTACAACTGCCTTTCAGACATCTTGAACTGGATGTCCAGTAGACATCTTAAATTTATTATCCTCCCCCCTCACTACTTTCTCTATTACTATAGAAGACAAAACTATCCTCCCATTCTCTCAGGCTTCCAATCCTGAAACCTAAGTCACCCTAGATCCTCACCACTTCTCACTGACCCCACACACCCCTCTCCCATATCCAATCTGTGGCCAAGGCCTGTGTATTTCACCTCTGCAACCTCTCGAATAAGCCCCCTTCTCTACTCTGACAATGCCTTCATCACCTGGTACAAGTTCCATCATCTCACACCTGGATTATTGCATTAACCTGCTAATGTTTTCTGACCCAGGAGTTCCCTGAACCAATAAAATCTGAGGACCAGTTCCTAGCCTCTATCCATTTATATGTCACACACGCACACACACCACATTGCCTTCACTGTGTTAAAACAAAAACTTCTACCTAGTTCTACTTCAGAAGGCTGGGTTGTCAGAAACACCACCCATATCTAAAGGGAGATCCTAATGGTAGATAGACAGGCTACTCTGGAATAGAGGATAGAGAATTGCACGTGGTGTCTTGAGAGACTAGGCTTTGCATGTGCTTCCTAACTATGTCATTATCCTTCTCTAAGACTGTTTTCTGATCTATACAATGAGAATACCACTCACGCTACCTGCCTCAAAACAAGACTAAGATCTAAGTGTTGTGTAAACTGTGAGTTGCTTTACATCAGCTAGCATTATTGTTTTACATTTACCTACTTTTGAAATTGACTCTCCTGGCAAGGAAGTGAAACAATGACTTTCAGCACTTGGGAAATAATAATCCCCAAAGTTGAGAACCATCTCACCCCTTCACTTAATTCAATGTTCTCTATGCTTTTTCCCCCAAAATATGTTGCCCATGCCTATCTCCCAGAATTGTGCTAATGTATGACAAGCTGGGAATAGCACCTCTGGGCTGGACAGGCAGCTGTCCCCAGAGATCCAGCTCTGCCCATCCACACAACTTCCCAAGCCTCTTCCAAGTGAGAAGAAGACTAGGCAGCAACACCGAGATGCAATGACTCAGCCTGCTGAGGGAGGCAGGTGTCAGCTTCCTGTCCTAAATATCTCCCCAGCGTTCTCCTGCCACCCACTGGGCCCAGGCAGAGGGCTTCCTCCAGGAGAGGATGGACGAGAGGTCACTGGAATTAAATCAGGTAGATCAGGGCTGCCACCCCCTTGTTCTACAGATGGAAACACTAGGGCCCAGAGAGGGCAAAGGGCATGCCTGAAGTTACCTAAGTACCAAAGAGCTCCTGCAGCCAGGGGAACCTCACTCTCAGGAAGAAGGAAGTTCCCCAAGCTGATTCACTAGGTGGCTGGCTCCTGAATCTCTTCACCCTCAATGGGGACCATTGTAAGGTGTACAGCCCACAGACAGCCCCACTACTCCAGCCACCTTGGAGATCACACACTCAGGTTGTTTTCCATATTTTATTTTAAAACAATAGTAAACAATTTTATTTATTATCTTAATCCAAACCACCTGACATCTGGCTTATCTCTGGCCAAAAAGTAAAATGGGAAGGGGAAGGGAAGAGGGGGCTGATCTAACTTCCCTGGAAATAAGCCCATTTTCCTGACATCTGGAATGGCTTGTGGATACTGTCTTTGCAAAAGGAAAGAAAAGAAAAGCACCACCAAGGCGTGCTTCAGCAGCAGCAGCTCAGGAAACCAATCTTTTTTTTTAATTCAATGATCTGAACATGTCCCAAACCATCCAGTTCAACTCTACATATTCCCTGGGCTTAGACTCATCTTCCACTCAATGATTCCTTTTGAAAGCAACTTTAAAAGAACAGACCCAAGTACAAGTAAAATAACCCTTATGATGACTTTCTCAAGATATCCAAGATCTTCTGTCCAGCATGAGACCTGGTCTGACTAATAACACTGCCAGCTAGCACATTTCCTTCCAGTCTGTAGTACCCGCCTGTGAAAGGGCTGAGACCTAGCTCCTTTGGAGCCAAGCCTCAAGGAAAGACAAGTGTTCTGAGCCCAGCGGGGAAGAAGGGTGGTGTCAGGCACACACCCAGCTGAACTCCTGGTTCTTTCCCTTTTATTTTGGGTGGGTGGGTGGGCGATAGGGGGCGCTCTGAAGTGGCTGGGATACTGGAAGTGGGGAGGGATGAAAGGAATTGAAAAGCAATTGTTACCTGATGGCAAGACAAAAAGAAATCTGTAAAACAGTTCAGGTTTCCCCATCTACAATGTAAATAGCATTTTTAAAAAAAGTTCTTTCATTATAGAAGGTACAACCCATTGCATGGACAGGGATCAGAGAAGGCCCTTGAATGAGACTACTGTTGTAAAGAATGTCATCACCAGACCAATGAAGAAGCACTGTTTCTCTGAGCTATCACTCTCCCAGAGATGGAAATAGCTGTGTTACAAGGAACAATACTCAGAAACAGCGTCCACCATAGTAGGCTGTTATTGGCAGAGAGGAGACAGGAATCAAAAAAAGGGCTGATTTCCCCAAGTGCTCTGCCCTAAGCCCCCATGTTTCACAACCACAATAAGAGGAGAGGTAGGCTGCTTCCTGGTGTTCAAAGCAAAATGTCCATCAAGGTTTTTTTCTTCCTTACAAAGTACAGGTAGACGGAACTGACATCGCCCAAACGGTCTGGAATTAGACTCACCCTGCACCACTGAGAAACCAACCCCACTCAATGGGTTCCTCTTCAAAAAGGCCTTACCCCAGCCCCAGGTCCCAACTCAAAAAAATCAAATTAACCTTAGAAAAAAAATAAATAGCATGTATATTTCATACCACCTAAATTCCACACAAATAGTTGGCTGTTAGATTTTTCCCCACCCACCCTGTCTCAAGCTCTCAGATGAAAGTTTTCTTCTTTCTCCCCCATTATCCCACCCTTAGTCCCTTCCTCTGGCCTTGGATGTTATGGTACATTCTGCCTCTCGGTGTGCAGTGGTGGTATGGGCAAGGTCCATTTGTATCCTGATCCCATGGGCAGTGGGGATGCCTAGCAAGCTGCCCAAACCAACGCCCAGGCCTCTGGACTCCCGCTGAAGGCCCCAGTCTCGCCTTTGGTCCGTCTTGTTGATTTAAAAAAAAAAAAAGATGAAAGAAAGAAAGAAAGAAAAAGGCTCCACGTGGTGACTTGGGTCTGTCGAGGTCTCCGTGGCGGCATCCTACTAGTCAGATCTGTGGGGCTGGCCCAGCCACGCCCGAGCACTCTCACTGTAGCTTTGTACCCAGCTTTCGCTGTCTGTTTCTGCAAGGTGACATTGAACAGGAGGCCCGGAGAATGGTTAAAAAACAAAAACAAAAACAAAAAATGAGATCTTCCCCTACAAAGGGCAAGCAACTCACTTCCCTTTCCTCCAAAATAGTCTTTTGCTGCTCTCCATCCAATTATTTTTTATTAACACTCCCCTATGTGTGTACAGCACTTCTCAGTTTAGAAAGAAACGGTTTATGCCCACTGTCTCATTTGCTCTTCACGACAGCCCCATGAGGCAGGCAGGCAGGTCAGCCAAGAACTACTATACCTGCTTCACAGAGGAGGAAATTCAAACTCAGAGAGGAGGGAAACTATTTGCTCAAGGTCACATAGCCAAAAGGCATCTTCAATCTCAATTTAATACTATCTTCACTATATCATAATCCCCAGGCAGGCAGGAACTGTTTCCGCCTCTGGCCAGCTGTGTCCTTTATGCCATTAATGGGATTGCCTTGCCCCAAAGCCCTCAAATCCCCTTTCCTAACAGATGTGGGCCTTTACCTATTCAGCTTGTTACTACAGTTCAGCCAGGATGTATTCATGATGCATATCTCCAAAGCCACCCACCAGCCCACACGCTACCATGGCTTTCTTTTCAGCCCTTCTTGTAACTCCCTTGCTTGGGAGCTATTAACCCCCAGAACTGGAAAACCATAAGGCTGGCTGCCCTATCTACTTCATAGGGCTGCAGTAAAAAAAAAAAATCCTCTGTTAATTTTAAAGTACTAGAGAAATAGGAAAGAGTGTTGTCTTCTCCCTTTCCATTCCTCCTAATCCCTTGCTCCACATTAACTTCCTCTGACCACCTCCTCCCCTATCCTCCCTCACCCCTGCCTCCAGCAGCATGTGCTCCCCTGCATTCTTGAGCATACTCCCTGCTCCTGACACCCTTTGTTTGAAAGCCCAAGCCTCCTGGCCTCTCTGTCAGAGAACTCAGAAACTGGGTCCTTTCAGATCTACTATTCTATGACCTGTGTATCTCTAGGCCTTGAGTTCTAGGTAGGTTTCTGTTCTTTTGAGTTCTAAATATTAGATTTAAAATAGTCTAAAATTAGAAGGAAATATAAGTGGAGAGCTGACCTAGGAGACAAGAGGGCTTGGGTTCAAATCCTGTTTCTGACACACACAGGCTATGTGACCTCTGGGCAAGGCACTAAATTTCTCACTGACCCAGATGCTTCTCTAAGACCACAAACACAACGCAAGAGCCAACCTGCATTGGTAAGAGGGAGTTTCCTCACTGAGTGCTCTCTATAACAATAAAATTCAAAGGTCTGGTCAAAAATGAAACATAAGAATCCAGGATCTTCCAACTTGACTCTCAGTTGGAGAAATGAGGTCAACTGCCCCTAAGTCCCAGACCCTAGGTAGGTAAGAGCTGTTCTAGGAGAAGCCTTGGCCAAATGGATAGGCTCTTGATTCAATGCTAGTCATGGGAGTCTGGGTGGGCTTCCTATCTTACTCACCTGGCCTCTGCTCTTGTGACTGTGTACTCAAACCACAGGACATTGGGGATGAGGCTTGTGTCTCGAATTAAGAAGAACTCAGATATGGGCCTAGGGAAAAAGAACAGCACACTCAGGGTGCTCATCTTCTACAAAGCCATTCTGGAACCCCCCCCAAATTCCAAGGTGTTAAAGGGCTCTGGCTATGCTACTCCCTCCATCCCTTTCCCCCTTGCTTCCAACTTTCAAAAGGTGAAAAAATATATATCTAGCTATCAAGTCCTGGGAAAAGAGCCCAACTGCCTTGGGGTGGGGGGTGGGGGTGGGGGGTTGAGATCCAAGTCTTCATGAGGAGAGACTGGATCAAACAGCAGCCAGTTCTTGCTGCAAAGGACATGGGAGGCATCAAAAGAGACAGCGCTGGCCTGCTGCATCTGACTGAGGTCAAAGTTTCACTGAATATGTCCCCATATAGCCCCAGGCACAGAGCCTGTACGTGCAGCTCTGAGACCTGAGGATTATGAACTGTGCCTGCACAGGTAGAAGATGATGCCCTTGAGCTCAAAGATCCTAACCCAGGGGAATGCCCAGAGTCTAAGCAGCAAACTCCTGAGCCTGAAGATGGGGTGGAAGAGATAACCAATACACGTAGGTCTTCCACATCTGGCTCCTGAGGCTCCCTCAGAATCCTAAAACACCTTCTTCCTGAGTGTCTCCTCAGTAGCCAGTGGGAATCCACTTGGGATTTTGCAAAGAAAGGCCTGCTCACAGTCCACAGAGTAGAAAGAGAGCCTTGACAATGGAGTCCTGGGCTAGGAATCAGGATGCGTGGGTTCTCTTCCTAACTCTGCCATAGGTCAGGCCCCTCAGTGTGCAAACTATCCCTGGAAGCAGAGCTCCCAATGGAGCAAAGAATGAAAATATGGGGTGGGGAGAAAAAGGTCCCTGAACTCCCTGGGAGAGGGGAAGTATGGGGAAAAGGGCTCTGGGAGAGAATTACCAGGCTGCTATCCTGGGGGAACAGTGGAGTAAGGATCTCCTGTGTGAAGGCAAACCACGCGACAGCCATGATGCTTCCTGCGACCCCTCCATAGAGAACCTGGCTCCAGGTGTGGTACAACAAATACACTCTTCAGCAGAAAGTGATGGTGAGGAACCAGTGAGAGAGATATGCATAAATCAGACAGACAGTTCCTGGCAGTGCAGGGTGCCAGGTCAAAGCTGAGGTCAGAGGCAAAGACAGTCAAGTACCTAGCACCTGAGATAAGACTCAGCCAGGTCCTGACCTCAAGCCCACGATCCCTGATCTCCAAACACAAGGGGGACTCCAAGAACAGCAGGGGCAGGGCAAAGTCCAGCACACAGGGAGTTTCTCTGATCCAACTAAAATGTGGTGAGCTAAGCAGGGACCAGGAATGATGAACCATTACAAGCAGTAGTTAGGCCTCCCTCTTCAATGGTAAATGGCATCCTAAGAAACAGCCCCACCACACCCTCCTGCTCAGTGGATTACTCTGTCTTTCCCTCTCATTAATTTGGTGGCCTCCATGGCTGAGTTCTCCTCAATATTCATGGGAGGGAGGCCTAGGATATGCTTCCAGGCCAAAAAGGAGGACGAGCCAAGTTGGGGTTAAGGAAAGGGCCTTGGGGACACTGGAGGGGCCCTGAGGGGAGGAATGGTCTGCTGGTCACTGAGAAAGTTGTGAACTGAGGGCGGCAGGAAGATGGATGGGCAAGAAGAAAGGGCAAATACTGCTGCATACCTACTATATGAGACGAGAAAGGCTACTGTCACAAGGCCCAGAGAGAGCACATGTCTCCACAACAAGTCCAGGAATCTGGCGTTGTTTGTTTGATGCATTCTAAAGAAAGGGGAAAGAAAAGGGGGGGCTGGTCAGGGGGCAGATAAAGCAGGTCCCTGTCCTTCCACTTCTCAGTGCTGAAGTGAACAGTCTCCACGGCTCAGGCCTCATCATCTCTGACCTCTCTGCAGCTTTTGATCCCGATGACCATCAGCCCCTTCTGAAAACGGGGCTTCTAGTACACCACATTTGCCTGGTTCTCCTCCAGCTCTTACTGTTCTACCTAAATCACTTTGCATGGATCTACTTCTCTATCTGGCTTCTTAACTGTGGATATCCCAACCAAGCGACCCAGGTGTAGGGGAATGTCATTGACCATTCTAGGAGGTGGGTAGAGGAGGTGCGAGTCCTTAGACAAAGCCAGGGCCAGTGGAAGGCCTGGAGCAGATGAGAGCACAGGAAAAAAATGCCTACTAAGTCTGAGATGCCTATAACCCCAGTAGCCCTCCCCCACCCTCCCCAGGAAGGTACTTTACCTTAAATAAAGAAAAAGGAAGGAGTAGACTGAGAAGAACCACATAAATTGGGAATGGCTGGAAGGCATCCCATATTTGGTATTCACCATGGAGTGGGTATCTAAGAACAAGCAGACAGTGTCCATCAGGCAGTGTCTGGGTACAGAGCTGCTCTCCCCCTGGATATCCAGCTCCCCCAAGCCAGGAGATGTCTTCATCCAGCTTCGGCTCTCCCACTGCACCCCTCCAAAGGTCCCTCCATACCTCCACAGGGCCGGGGCTCCCGGATAATGTTCTTTATTAGCCAGTTGACCCCCTCGTTGAGTGCCAGACCCCCCAGGAAAGAAATCTGTAAAAGAAGGAGTGGGGTCAACTCTGCCTTTGGAAGTCATAAGCAAGGCCCTCCCTCCCCACACAGATGCTGACCCCAGCCACTATTCCTAGATGACAGAACTAACCTGAGGCCAGCAGCGAACTCAAAAACACTGGCGCATGGATGCATATATATATATAGGGGAGCTGAGGGTGGGGTGGGGGTGGAGGCACTATCCTGGTGCAATCAACAAAGGCACTGGATTTAGGGCCAGAGGACTTGGATTCAAATACTGTCTGTACTACCTACTACCTATGTGTCCTTGGGCAAGGAACATCATGTCTCTTGACTTCCACTTCTCCTCTGTAAACTGAGACAGTTGCACTAGATGATCTCTGAGGTTCCTTCCAGCTCTAAATCCTATGATCACCCGCAGCAGAAGTCCTCTCTTTGGGGACCACTCTGGCTTGCCTCAAGGCACCACAAACAACTGCCCACAACATGGAAGGGAGGCCACTTCCCAGCAGCAGATGCTGCCCCACTGCCTCCTGCCAGCCTTGTAGTGGCCAGGCTCCCTCGGCTCCCACCCACCGCTGAGCAGAGGGAATGTTCAGGGCATGGCCGCATGGTCACTGTGGAAAGGACTGCAGGGTGGGTGTGGCAGGAGGCAGGGCAGACTCACAGTGTGAAGCTCTCGCTTGAATATGATGAGTGTCACAAAGCCGACAATAACGAAGATGGGGCTGAGGCTCAGGTAGGCGAGGAGGTGGCCTGAGAGATCACCTGGGGAAGGTGAGAGGCAAGGAAATGGAAGAACTGGTCAAAACTCATCTCTTTGAATGAGAAACCCAGCTGCCCAACAGAAAGCCAGTCCAATGGCTCAGAAAGCCCAGAAGAAACTTCCATGTCTGACCCAGGACAGCAGGAACTCTGTTGGTGACAGCCAGCTCCACACCATAAGAAGGGAGCAGGAATCACAAAGCAGAAGCTCCAGCTAGCCAGCCTTAGCAATGGGAGGAAGCAGGCTACAGACAAAGCTGCATCTCCTCAGCGCTTTCCCAGAGATAGCATGGAGGGAAGCCTAGAAAGGAGGACAGGAGGCTCAAGGTCTTTCCTGCAGTGACCAGAGATGGGGATATGGGCAAACTGATTCAACACAGCCCATGTTCTTGGTGTGGAAACTCAACTGGAGGCACACACCCAACCCCCTCCAGTGTGGCTACCTCTCACTGCCCAACACAGCCCTCCCAGGCTGCAGGCTCCTGTGGTTCTGGAGCATTCTCTCCTTCCTTCAGAAATAAGCCTCAGGACTAACCCAGGCTCTAGATTCTTTCCCTAGACTCAGCCAAAACTGGAGGGGAAGGGAAAAGAGAGAGAGGTTATACTGTTGGGGAGCTGTAATTCACCTCCAGTTTTATCTCACCCAGACCTTTCCCTAAAGCCAATACCTGGTACATTTCCTAGAAAACAGCCCAGGCCAAAGGCCAGATCCGTGCTGAAAAAATTCTAACCTGGGAAATGGTCCCAAAGAAACCTAACTGGGTATAAGCCAGTCTGCACAGGAATCCAAAGGATACCAAGCCAAGCCCCAGCCCCAGGTAGAGAAGACTGGGAGAGAGAGGGGGTCAACACCCTCGAGGTCCAGTGAATAACTCAAAGAACCCAGGCTGAGAGGGAAGCAGATGCCAGGCAGGCTTCATTCCAAACCTCCTTCAGCGGAATCATAGCAAAGAACTAGACTAGAAGAGGTCAAGAATACCAGACTAAAAGTGAAGAGGCAAGTTCTGGTCTGATGCTATAATTAAATGTGGGACTTGGGCAGGTCATATTCCTTCTCTGGGCCTCAGTTTCCTCATTTGTAAAACAAAGTGCTAAACTGCATAGTCTCTAAGGTCCTGCACAGTTTTAACATTATAAAATTCTATGGCAATAAAAACTTTTATTAGTTTTTAAATGTATCTCCTATCTTCTTTTTTTCCTATCTTAAAGCTTCCTAGATCTCTCGGTTCCATCATTCCCCACCTTACATTGAACTCACTTATGCGCATGTAATATCGTACAGAATGAAAGCTCCTTGAAGGCAGGGATTGTTTCATTCTCATCTTTTATGTTTAGTACCAACCACAGTGTTTGGCACACTGCAGGCACCAAAATGTTAACTGAATTTGGAGAAGTACAATAGCATCCCATTTTACAGATGCAGAAACTTCCTGAGGTTCAGGAAGGTTAGATCAACCATCCACTGTCAGAGATGGGACTCTAAACCCCAGCTATCTGATTCTAAGACCAGTGTTGGGTGAAGACCAGCAGGCTTCATCCCTCAAGTCTGCATTCTTGGGGATACCTAGCAGAGCCGTACATGCAAAGGCTTTGAAGGCCTTCAGTCATCTCGCTAAGAACCACAAATGGCTCTCCTGGCCCACTGCCACTCCCTACAAAGGGTCTAAATGAGTTGCTTGTTTGTCTGTTTTGGGCGGTAGCAGCAAAGGGGAGATATAACTGGGGCAGAACAGTGAACACACAATGATGGCATATAACTGGGGATGTCCCTTTGCTGATTCCCCTCCCTTTCCAGAGCCCCAAAACAAGGACACTCAAAGGAGCAAAATCTGCCTATCAATATTATGTATTCTTCTTAAAGCAAGCAGGAGGCAGGAAGGGTAGGGATATTCTCACCGACTTCAGCAAGAAATCACTGTCAGTGTTTTGTCAGTTTGGGAGTTTGGGGGTGCTGGTGGTCAATGGTGACCAAAAAATTATCTTGATGGCTGTGTAAAAAAGCTTAGGAAAACTTGCATACCTTCGCCCTTGAGGTGCTAAGTGAGCCAGAGACAGAAATTTCTGTCATGACTCTGCTCAAGGGGAAAGAGAATGAAACTAGCCTGACATATATTTCCCTCTGAACTAGGCCTTGAATTAGTAGGAAGACTGTGTGTTACATGGGCATCACAAAGGTTGGAACTCAATTAGCTGTCCCCTTTCTGCATGAGGATGGTGCTTGGCTATGAGGCCCTGGAACCTCTGTACACCCCAACTTAAGCCTAAGAAGGCTCTTTCCCATATTGATATCATTTCATCCTCAGGATGAACATAGCCTTTGGCTGTTTCAAAAGCAATACTGTACCAGGTACTGCTCCCAAATAGCTGTGAGATGTAGGGCAACTCACTTCATCTGAGTCTCAGTTTCCTCATCTGTAAAATGGGAATAACACACAGCTATTAAAGCTTAAAACTACACCAAGACTTTTGGTACAACCTGTATTATCTTTATATTATTACCTAACCTCCCAGAATAGTAGGACGAAAAGTACTTTGTAAATTTTTAAAAAATGTAAAAATGTGAGTTCTGAATTCTGTGTCAGACTTGGAAGGGTATGCAGACAATGGGCAGGGCCAAGCTTTCCAGGTCAGCATCCTTTCCCCCCTTTTAACAGTTCACAAAAAACAGGCAGAAACTCATTCCTTCACATCTCTTCCTTGCCCAGACAGCCTGGGCTCAGTGCAGCCTTTGGAGATACACTACAGGACCCAAAGGGTCCCAGGACCCCACACCCTGAAGCAAGAGGGTAGGGGTCAAGGGCGGGGGTGGGAGGGATGGAGTTGGCCCTAGGGCAACAGAAGGAAGGGTCTTCTGGCTGTAACCAGAGGCAGCTCTAGTGGGGGCTTGCCCAGCTGCTGAAAGCAACAAAGCTGTCAGGCGGCGTCTACAGGGGGCAAGGGTGGGCGGTTAGTCCAAGACAAGGAAACTCCAAGTGCTCACGCACCGTCCCCTCCCAAGCCGAGGGAGCAACACCCCTTCTGCACGCCTGCTTCTCTAGTCCTCAGGGGACAATGACGGGGAAAGGGGGAGTCTTGAGACTCCATGCACCCAAAGGCTCCGCACCCCACAAGCCCACTTCACGGGTCGTGCCACTGAGCCCAGGTAGCTAGCCGCGCAGGCGCAGAGTGAGCGAGTCAGCGGCTCACAATTTAGCACAGCTCATCGCCACCTCATTGCGCCTGCGCATTATGCTCCTCGAAGGGAGCCTTCAATGGCTCACTATCTGACAGCTGCCACCCCAGCCCCCGGCTGCCCCCTCCCCTGGCTCACCCGGGGAGGGAGAGGCCGGGTGGGGAAGGGCGAGACACAGAGGAGCTCTCCTTTGAGGGCCTGGGCCTGAGTTTTACCTGTGGGATATTCGACGTGGGTGAGGGTCACCGGCCGCCATGAAGCGGGGAGCGAGCACTGTCCGTCCGCTGCCATCTTACCCGGAGACCGGGCTTTGCCGATTAGCCAATCAGGAAAAAGAGGGGAGATGGTCCTGACCTATCCCGCTTGGAAGACTCTTCGCACCCAATCGTCGGCCGCTACAGGTAGTGGCGCAGCCCATCAGCACGCAGGCCATCGGCCTAGCCAGAGCAACGAATCAAAGAGTGGGGCTCGTGGAGCCTTTGAGCTTCCCCCACTGGGGTTCAATCCGTTGCGAGCACAGGTACGGACCTGGCCAATCAGGGTAGGGTAGGGTTACAGCTCATAAACTGGAGCAGTGTGACCAATCAAAAGGAGAGACTGGCGCTAAAGGGGCGGACAGAATGAACCAATCAGTCTTTAGCTTGAGGGGCGTGTTGGACTTTGGTGGGAGCTTTAGATTGGGGTCCTGGTTCTAACCGTATTCGTGCTTTAGAGTAGTTGGGAGTTCGCCCTGGAGCTGCTTCTGGGCACTTAGGACCGCCAACTCCTCGACGGAGCTCAGGAGGAGGATACAGGGGATAGGGGGCTGGGGCTCCCACAGCTCACAAGTCAGCCGGCCTGATACCCCAGGAACCAGAAACCACTATTAGTCTCTTTGGAAGAATAAAGATAATTAGAAGAAAATAAAAGATATTACTTTAAATATATTTTTAATTTGTGTCATTAACTATTTCACAATTGCATGTAATAACATTTTAAGATTCTTTTTTTTTACATTTTGATTTCCAAATTATCTCCCTCCCTACTCTTCCCTCCTTGAGAAGGCAATTTGGTATTTGTGAAGTCATGCAAAACATTGCCATATTAGCTATGTTGCAAAAGAAAGCACACCGAAGCAAGAAAAATGAAGAAAGCAAAGTATGGTTCGATCTGTATTCAGAGTTCATCAGTTCTTTCTCTGAAGGTGGATAGCACTTTTCATCAACTATATTATTGTTAAAATTTCATTATCCTTCAGACCACACTCCTACACCTATATTCACAGACCTATTTGTGAGAATTGGTCCTTTAGGAGGGCAGCTAGCTGGCACAGTGGACCTGGAGTCAGGAAGACCTGAGTTATAAATCCAGCTTTAGAAAATAGCTGTGTGATCTGGAAAAATCTCATTATCCCACAAGATTGAATCTGCTCCGGGGGATTTAAGGAGGGGACCCATCTCAGTCTTCTCATTTCCCACCAGCTATTCCACTTTTGTGTTTCTTTGGATTTCTGCATCTTTCTCCATCATTCAGAATATATTCCCACACCACCTTCCTCTGTCACTCCAACTTTTCAGCTTCCTTTTGTGTGTAGTGTTTTCTCCCATTAGATTATAAACTCCTTGAAGGCAGAAAGTTTTCTGCTTTTATCTGTATTTGTATGTGTGTAGCACAGTACCTGGCACATAGTATGTACTTAATAAATATTTATTAGCTATGACTATGACCCTGGGTAAGTCACTTTCAATTGTCTGCCTCACTTTCCTCATCTGTAAAATGAGGATAATCTGTTGTGAGGATAAAATCAGATCATATCTGTAAAGCGTTTTCCTAACCTTAAAGTACTATATAATGCTAGCTATTATTATCTGTAAAATAGAGATGAAAATACTTGTCCTAGCTACCTTACAGGGTTTGAGGTGGGAGGGATGCATTTTGTAAACCTTAAAATACTATAGGAAACTGACTAATAATAACCCTCATTTTCTATGATTTCAAAACATTCCATTTGTCCCTCTTCTGTGGATGTACAAAGATGTGAAAGACTCTGGTCCTGCCCTCAAGGCAACTTACAGTCTTTCCAGGTCAGCATCCTTTTCCCCCTTTTTCACAAAAGCAGTTGGAAACATTCCTTCACATCCTGCCCCCAGACACCTTTCTTCTCACTCCTCAGACAGCCCTGACTGAGTTTGAACTTTGAATCATGCCCCAAAAGCATGGAATATTTTACCTATCAGATCTATGGATAAGGGAAGAATTTATATCCAAATCAAATTTATGACCAGAGATAGCACCACAGGATGGAAAATGGAAAATTCAGATTACATTAAATTTAAAAGTTTTGCACAAACAAAACCAATGCAGCCAAAATTAGAAGGAAAACAGAAAGTGGGGTGGGGTACAGGGAGGGAAGTTATAACAAGTGTCTCTGATAAAGGCCTCATTTCTCAGATATATAGAGATCTGAGTCAAGCTGATAAAAATACAAGTCATTCCCCAATTGATAAATGGTCAAAGGATCTGAATAGGCAGTTTACAGAAGAAGCTATCTATAGTCATTTGAAAAATGCTCTTAATCACTTTTGATTAGAGAAATTCAAATTTAAAAACTCAGAGTTACAACCTCACACCTATATCAGATTGGCTAATATGACAGGAAAAAAACGGTAAATATTGGAGATGTGGAAAAATTGGGATACTAATGCATTATTGGTAGAGTTGTGAACTGATCCACCCATTCCGGAGAGCAATTTGGAACTATGTTCAAAGGGCTATAAAACTGTGCATACCCTTCAACCCAGCAATACTACTATTAGGTCTGTATCTTAAAGAATTTTTTAAAAAAAGAAAAAGAAAAGGACCTATATATACAAAAATATTTATAACAGCTCTTTTTTGTGGTGGCAAAGAACTGGAAATTGAAAGTATGCCCATCAGTTAGGGAATGGCTGAACAAGTTGTGGTGCATGACTGTAATAGAATACTATTGTGCTATAAGAAATGAGCAGGGGGACAGCTAGGTGACACGGTAGGTAGCACACTGGTCCTATAGTCAGAAGGACCTAAGTTCAAATCTGGTCCCATATACCAAGTGACCTTGGGCAAGTCACTTTACCCCAGTTGGCTCAAAAAAAAAAAAAAATCTGCAAAATTAAACATATCAAATACACATGCACACACAAGAAATGAAGAGCAGGATACTTTCAGAAAAACTGGGAAAGACTTATATGAACTGATGCAAAGTGAAATGAGCAGAACCAGGAGAACACTGTACACAGTAACAACAAGATTGTATGATGATCAACCATGAATGACTTAGCTGTTTTCAGCTGTGACAAATGAAAAGTTCGAGAGACTTATGTCATTTTATTATATTATATATATTATATTATATCATTTTATTAATTATGGCTCTCTCATGGAGGCCTCTGGATGCTTATATACCCTTGGAAGAGTGAGTATTCCCCACAGAAAGAAATCAGCTCTGATTGGTTAATAATTAATGAAAATGAATATTATGATGAGAGGTGGGCTTATTTGAATGAGGGGCTGAGTATGTGACTCTGATTATGTCACTCATGGACAAAGACTTGTCTCAAGCCAGACTACTCCTGACTGGGCAATCTAGAAAAAGGAATCTACCTCCCCCCACCCCCAACCCAAGCCTGTCTGAGTAGAACACAATGGGCCAGAATTCACCTAGATTAGAGTCTTTTGTAAGGTTTTCTAGTTGGGTGAGATAAGAATTCCCCATCCAGATAAAATGGTCTTGGGGTGTGGGGCCCAGGGACAGGTGGTGGTAAATTTGGGGGCAAGGTTAGAAATCTCCTTAAGAGACTGGACTTTGAATGAGGAAATAGAAAAGAAAAAATCTTAATCTCAATTAATAATTGGTTATTAATATAAGAGAGAAATAATAATTTCTATCACAGAAATATGATACAAGACAATTCTGAAGAACTTAATGATGAAAAATTTTAACTACCTCCAGAGAAATAACTGATGGAGTCTGAATGCAGATCAAAGCATACTATTTTACTTTCTTTATTTTTCTTGTTTGTTTTTTGCTTTTGTTTTTTGTTCTGTGTTTTCTTTCACAACATGACTAATATGGAAATATATTTTGCATGACTGCTCATATATATAATCTATACCAAGTTGCCTGCCTTCTCAAGGAGGAGTGAGGGGAGGGAGGGAGGGAGACAATTTGGAACTTAAAATTTTTAAAAATGAATGTTAACAATTGTTTTTTACATGTAATTGGTAAAAATAAAATATATAAATTAAAATATATATAAAAAAGGAGCACACCCCAAGGTCTAAATGTTCCCACTGTGCAGGAGGAGACAGCAAAGAGGGTAGGGATCCAGGATAGAGGGTTCTTCTGAGGGCTAAGGGAGAGGGTCTTATGTCACACCAGGGAAGAAATGGAGGCTTTCTACTAATTCCCCCATCTTCAGATATGTTGTGTTCACTACACTTATTAAGAAAAGAAAAATTAATTCAAGTTTTAAAGAAGTTTTTGGTTTTGTATTTCTTTAATAAGAAGTGTTGAAATTTAAATGGAAAGAACAAAATGAAGATGAACTCTACATAACTTTAATGATCAGGAAAATTAACTCTAGAGAAGAGTTGAAAAAAGACACATCCTTCCTCTTTTTTGCCAAGGACTATGGCTATTCAACCCTGCATGTACCATCAATTGATGTGTTAGCTTGTTTTACTTAACTTTTTTCTTTTTATTCTTTGTGGCAAGGGATGGCTCAAGGGATAGAAGAAGGTGGAAGGATATACTCAAAATCAGGGGGGCATAAAAATACAAGAGAGGCACCATGGCATTGGGAGCTGAGTTGACCTCAGAGCCATGAAAACCTGAATTCAAGTCCCACTTCTGACATACTTTCAGCAAATCATTTCACCTCTCAGTGCTACAGAAAACTAAGTTGTAGAGAAAGTATTGGTAGAGGAAATTTCTTCACCTGGAAGTTCCCCATACCAAGAAAAATCACAGATCTAGACCCTTTCAATTTTTTAAAATAAGCCCTTAAAATAAAAAATTTTATGCTTAACCCACTGCTGATCTGAACATTCAGTTAACCAGTATCTTCACCTACCAAATTCCTCAAGCATTTTAGTTGAGGTTTTATTAAAAACAGTCAGTCCATAAACATATATTAAGCACCTACTATATTTCAGGCACTGGCTATACCAAGAAAGTTAGACAGTCTTCAATTTCAAGGAGCTTACAGTTTAATGGGAAAACCGACATGCAGACAACTTCAATCAATGGAAAGAAAGTACTAGAACTGAGGGACTGGGAAAAGGCTCCCTGTAGAAGAAGGTGGGATTTTATTAGTAAGTGAAGTTGAGGAGGGAGAGCATTCCAGAGTGGGGGCC